TATCCACAGGCATATTTAGAGATGGTTGGTTGGTCTTCTCAGTCTTTGTTAAGCATGTGAGTCTTTCATTATGAAAGAAAGTAGCTGCAAATGGAGAACGCACAAGTGGGTGTACAAGCGATGAAAAACTTACCCTGTGTATGCCGTAGCCTATTTCTAGGACAATCTGTATGTATCTTGTACATGTATTATAGGTCCTGAAGAGTGAATTTGCATCCACGAATCTTTCAAAACAAATATAAATATGTTAGAGAGAGACTTTTCTGAGATTCAGCCCATGTTTTCATTCTTTCTTTCCATACATCCTACTCATACCTTCTCCGTTTCCTTGGTAAAACACGTGCTGTTGAGAAAGTGCCTGTGCTTTGCTCACTGTTTTTAAATGGAATTCTTAGAGCTCTAACGTCACCTTTGAAGCAGTGTTTGAAGCCGTGCAGTTTTGCCAGTAATTGATGGAGTGATTTTTGACAGCCTTTTTAGGTTGAGTTTTTGAAAGAGCATTCCGTTTGCTAGAGGGAGTTTCTGAATTTGGAGCAATTTTTAGGGATGCAGAGTTAACCCCTTTGAAATACTGCCCATAGGATAACATATTTTAAAATACCGAGGAATTTTGCGCTGGAGAAACTGTCAGCAAAAGATGGGTTGAGGCTTTATCTGTTCTTGAATAAAAAAAGCACCGATCTCCTAAATGCACCTCTTTGAACATTTGTAACCGAGGTTCTCAGATGACTGTATTGATGTAACAAAACATCCATTCTTCCTGAGATGCTCTGTGAAACAGGGATCTGAAGCTAATTGACTGAATATACGTTGCTTTAATGAATTAATTTGCTTTCTTGAACTCTATCTACCATATAGCCAGTAGGGAGCTATCAGACTACACAAAGGTTTTGGTTTTTTCTCCGTGGCTCTCGGCATGTCAGATATCCCAGTGCAAAACTTAGAACCCAAAGACTTTCTGTGCATTAGTGATACTCCCTGAAGGCTGTAAACCAATGAGAGCACATGTGTAATCCAGCTGTAAAGTTTCTTCATCTGTGCGAGATGTAATGTGGAGAATAATCCTACCTAGGTTTCAGAAACGTTTTGTGAAGGGTCAAGGAGACGTTGGGTTGTACAAATGGGATACCTGCGGCTGCGTTGTGCTATAGTTATGTTTTTATTCTGTATATAATTATACTGCATATTGTAGGTGGTTGACAGATGGCATTTGTGGTAATATCTGTCAGAGCCATAGTAAGTCATTTTGGGGTTCATGGGGAACCTTTGCAGTGCAATGTAATGTAGTCTTTGGGCTTCCTCCAACAGCCATTACCTTTAACTGACCTTCTGCCATGGGCTTTATTACTCTTCTTAGATAGTGGCAGGAGCTCATGGCCGTTGTGCCTCATCAGGGCTTGCCCTGCTTTCTGGCAGCTCTACTAATCCTCACAGTGTGAACTGATAAAACAGGCAAATATGTATATTTTTTGCTCCTGTAGAATTTCAACACAGTCATTATTTCCCCGGTGAATCCTGTCGCATTGCCTGGGTCACTCTGCGTGTCACACTTCAGCCCAGACTGTGCTGTGGTTGACCTGTAGCTTTGGTCAGTCTTGCCAGGTACAAATACATGAATCACCTTAAAAAGCTGAGGGGAAGGGGAATATATCCAATATCTCCATTCTGTAGCCCTGTGTACCTTTACAGACAAAGAAAAGGAAGAATATTAGGCCAGCGCTTTCATCTAGTTTTTACTCTTTTGGGAAGGTGAGCACTTAGGTATTGAGTGTAATATGAAGTCTGTTATTAATACCACTCAGCACCCAGATATTTAGTTGGTGTCTGGGTGGTTTGTGTGTCAAAGAGCTGAGCAGTAATTTCTATATCCCCAAACTGGAAATGGAGAGGGAGTGGGAGGATGGATGGGCTTGTGGGTCTGGGCTTAGCTAGGTTTCTTGCCTTTTTTGGGGCCAGTTACTTCCTCTTTCTGCTCCTGACTAGGAGGGAGAACTGTGCTTCCTTCCCACCCACTTTCCTCTCATACTAGTAATAAAAGGGAGAAGAAGATGCAGAGAAACTGGGACACAGCAATAGGGCTGCCCAGCTCAGAGAAGGTGCAGGAACATTAACAGGGTTTGAAGCATTTTGCGTGCAACTTATGTTTTATACATGCAATATTTTGTGTTTCAGCATGTGTTCCTTGAGGAACAGGATTAGGTCTGATTCTCCACCTACATAAATTTAAATGCTTTCTAGGAAGGCGGTGGAATTATGCCAATATGAAGCCAATATAAGAGGACGGAGTGTAGATCTGTCCCTTCAATTGGACCTTTTCCTGCTGGTCCTTGTTTTCTGAGCCAAGACTCATCTCAGGAAATAAATCATACTTCCAAACTGAAAAACTGATCCTGCTTCCAAACATTACTTTGTGCTTATCTTCATTTTCATTCTGTTTACTGGTATTTATTATGTCACAGACTTACAGTTCAGCATCCAAATTCTTACCAACAGATGGCAAGGCAGGATGCACAGGAGTAGTAGAATAAACAGGATAAATACACAACTGCCCATATGTCTGGGAGGATGATACACATTTATGACTTCAGAACAAAAGGATGTCTTCAGTGCTGTGCAGGGCTTCTTGCTGTTTTCTGCCTTGACCTAAAGCCTCTCACTTCATCACATTTTGCTCAGTTAAGTTACAGTATATTTTGTTCTATCTCTTCTGTTCCTGGATAGTTGTTTCCTCTAGTTATTTGCCTCCACTCCTGAAGTACATCAGCTCATTTTACCTTCAAAATGTTACAGTGGAAGGTGGCTCTCTCCTGGGCTTTGGCTCATATTTTTTCTTTCAGAGTGGTTGTTTTGGCTGTTTTGAGGGGTACAGAGAGGAGCTGGGGACCACATCAACATCTGAGATGCTGGCTTTCTTTGTATTGGAATTTATTATCATATTAATGACAAGCGGCCTCCCTGATACCTCAAAATAGCAAGCCTCAGGGCAAGCTGCCTGCAGGATGCATAGCCCAGCCTAGACAGACTTTAGCTAGATTCCCCTTCAAATCCAGGAGCGTTTTTGCCAGCTGCTGCCTGCTGCAGGTCAGATGCAGTAAAAGTGTTGAAGCAGTTCTTGATTTAGCCTGGCAGATAGTCCAGCCCCTCCTTCTGCTCCTTCTTGTGGCATCCTGTGGCCTTAACATCTTTGCTCTCATTCTCTTTTGGCTGTTCCTTGCTGAAATGTTGTGACTTTCCTTCTGCTAAAAAGATGCCTTCTGTATTAGCTTTTCAATGACCATGAAAGAGTCTTCCTTTAGAATACCGGTAGATACAGCCCCAGGGAGAAATTTCTGATTTCTTTTCTTAATTCTTGAGCATCTCCGTGCCATCCTGCCAATGAAAATACTTGACAAAAGGCATGAAGTTTGGGTTCTTTTCCCTACCTGTTTTACTTTGTTTCCCATGGCTTTATCCAGGCTCCGGCTTAAATTACAAGTAGCACTGTAAGTTCTTCTTCAATTTTCTTACAAATGGTGTATGTGAAGGAATGCTAGATAATAAACATGGTCACGACACAGAGAGACAGATGAAAGGAGAGTGCATTATGGAATTACAGTATTTCCTGTGCAGATTGCCAGGCCCTGATACTAATTAACCTCTTTTATTGTTCTTTTTCAAGCATTCCGCCTTTTAATTGCTGTTTTGGAATTGTGCCACTTAGTTATGCCCTTTGAATGCTTCTCATTTAGCCAGTGCCATTAGCTTCATAATGCCAGATATTTCAAAGATACTGAGAAGCAATGAGCATCCCCTGTTTGAGTGGGAGAGGTACCCAGTTCAGCGAGGAATTACCACCCTTGTTTAGCTGCCAGGGGTGTTTTTTCAGATTTAGTTAATAACCATTTTTAAGTCACTGCCAATTCTTTACTGGAGGTTTCATATCAATTTTCTCCCATTTATACATTTCAAATAATGCAATTTTGTGTAGAATATGGATGACTGATTATTTTCTCCTGTCCAAATATATAGCTTTCAATAACGTTAGGATTGTTATTGTTTTACTTGCATCCCAGAGGCATAGTTTATCTGCTGTTGCTGCAAGGCATTAAAAAGGAAGCATGGCATGTTGCAATTATGACTTGAAATAGGATCTTGCCGAAGCCACGTTGCCTAAATATAATCAAATCTAAAATAGAACCTATTGCATGCACCTATCTCAGAGCTGTGCATACCTATCTCATGGCTCACTGAGCATCAGTGATGGCTATTAGCAAGACACGGGATAATTTTGTTGTAAGAACTGCCATGCTGTTGGATTGTTTTCTTTAAAGGTCAGCCCCCAGCATTCAGCTGCCTGAAAGCAAATGGAATAGAAAGCTCTTAATGCTGGAATACCTTGTGACTATTTAGGCTGAGTTTTCAAAGGTAGCCAGATATGAAAGCTGGTAATATTCCTTTCTATCTGACTCACTAGTGGCAATAGTGGGCTGTAATCATGTTTGTCTAGTGGCTCTTCTAAACTCGGGTAAACCATAGCAGTGCTCCTTTGCATACTTGCATACATTTTAATGCAAAACTGGCTGAAGTTGGTTTCTTTGTGTGTGTGCTTGTTTTTAGCGAGTGAAGCAGCAAGTTGCATTATGTCGTATCGCATTTTTATCCACATGGATCTTGAACAGGGTCAAAGCCCTCGGAGTCACTGAACAGAGCTCAGTTACTTGAGCCAGTGGAGTAAATAGTCCAGAGCGCATTGCTACTCTGCAGATACACCTCTGCTGATGGTGGGTAGGTTATTTGTTGGCAATTATGAACTGCCAAAACTTTGGGAACCCAGTTTCCAGGGTGGGCTGCAGAGGGAGAGCCCCAGACTCTTCATCTATTTCCTCCTCAGTTTACTGTCCCATGATCCCACTCTGCCACCTGACATATGCCTGGCTGGCAGCAGTTTATTCTGTACAATTAAATCCCAGCAACATTGTTAACAATTTCAACCAAGTTTTATTTGAGGAACTGTTGGAAAACATCAGTATCAAGCAAAGCTATCCTCAACATGGTAAAATATCAATTAATAAATCAGGAAGGTATGTAACTGTTTGGAAGTGGCTTCTTAAACCGACAGTTGCTAACCAGAACCAGTTGGGTGCTTATCCTCACCCTCCTGCCAGCAGGCAGCAGAGCATCATTTCCATTACAGCAATTTTGGGTTCACCAGTGTGCTCTTTGCAGACAGACCAACTTCTTCCCGATGGACCGGTAGGATGCAGACGGCCTCCATCCGAAAAGCCCCTCTACATTTATGCATGTGCTGAACCTCAGCCAATAAACCTGGCAAGAGGCTGAGTTTCTTGGCTCAGGCTTCACGCTGCTTGGATCTGCCCACCATGCATTTGGATCAGAGCTGGTCCACATCCCCCCCAGCTCTGCCTGCTGCGAAAACACGTTTTTGTCTGTCGACAAAAGATGCTCTGCGATGACGAGTGGCTGTTTCAAAGGCTGTGGCTTATGAACTCGTATTTCCAGTGAAGTTTTGTCTTTCAACATTGCATTGGGAGTCAACAGGATTCATTTTTTTAGGTTACTTAGGGGTTTTCCAAAAATATTCACCCAAGACTATCTGCTAATCATGCGATTTAACATCCTGTGGCTGTCCTCAGTAGGCAGAAGGTTTGCTGCAGAGGTTGGTAAGCATTTCTCCTTTGCTCGGCCTGTTTTGCTGTACTCTTGCCCTTGCCTTTAGCACTGGCAAATGCAGACAGTTTTGGAGATGCTTTGGGATCCTTAAAGATGCAAGACCTGGATAAAAAAACAGCCAGTATTTAGGAATAATGCTAGGGCAGTATTCACAGTATCACTTCTAATTATAGCCATTCAAACAATTCATTTGCAATGTCCCGCTATGGTAGTGCTATTAAAATAGAATCCTCTTTATAGTTTGGTAGAAAATTAAGAGGGGAAAAATATAGCTATCCCAGTCCATCTGATGGCTTTGAAAGAAGTTTACCCTCACAACTTGATTTCTAGGGATATTCGCCTTGTTTTTGCTTGTACTCCTGGTCTGATTTTTAATAACTTACTTTGTGTCTCTCAGTAACCAATTCCCAGTGACATTTTTCCTCATTTCATTTTAATTCCTGTTTATAAATGGCAGCATTCTAGTTGGACACAGCCTTTGGACACAGCAGCAAAACCCTATAGGGAAAGAAAAACAAGCCAGAAATCGTCCACCTGAATTCTAAGTCTTACCCATGGCTTCAACCGCACACAGAGCCAACACGCTCAGCTTTGCAGCATCAGAGGAGCACTCGCAAGCTGGGTGAAGGGCAAGTGGTTCAGGATCAGGGCCAGACCCAGGCAGCCAGAACCTCACTGTTGGCACCTCCAAGCATCAGTGCTGGATGCAGCCACTCTCGCAGGTTATCCCTTTTTCTGGCATGACCACTTTGCCCTAGGAGGGCTGAGCAAGTGGTTGCAGCTGGCCAGAATACGGGTACACAGTTCCTAATGCTCATTTTATAGCATTTGAGTGTGTACCTGTTTTGGTGGCCAGCTGGCACGGTGTTCAGCCTAAAATGTGTGTGTAAGCCCTGTATTAAAAGAGGCATGAGAATTAGCGCGTATCAAACATGTCATTAGGCACGTGCCTGGTAGACATAATGTAGGATAATGCGTATGATCACAAGAATAAATTAATAACTGAAAATATTTCTTTATATGTATGCACACTTAAAACAGGGTAAGAACTAAGTGACACTTGTGTCACCAGTTTATAATTAAAATGCAGTGCTTGAATGAAAATGTAAGCTTCAATTAGCCAGCATGACCCTGCTTCCGGCTTTACTTCCCACTGAAAAGCAACGATAACAAGCTCACATTTATTATCAGAGTTTTTCCTGGAGCTGTGCACTGAAACATGCTCACATCTGAGCCCTTTCACTGAAGACATTTTTTCGCTTCAGCAGTTTGGCATGCCATACAAAGGCTCTCTGATTTTTAGTGATGTTCACCTCCTCTTACATAAAAATGTTTTCTGTGCATATTATTTGGTTTTTAGTTAAAGTCCAGGTGCACGGGTTACTGAAGAACCAAAAGGATGCCTCATCACATAGCACAATGGGTAATTATTGCTGAGCTTCACTGTATTGCACAGACAAATCCTTTCTGGGAGCTCAGCATTGTAGCCGTGAGAGGGGGAAAATACCTACTATCTAGCCCAAAGTCTTGCAAGGGTAAGAACAGATCCTTGGGTATATGCTTTGCTCATTTAATTTTTAACTATCTCAAGGGACAGAGCTTCATAATTTTGTTTAGAGATACTATTTTGCATTTTAATTTCTCCAGTGGGAGAATTATGAGGTCTCGTGTTCCTGTTTTCATCCCAAAAGTCCTTTTAGTTAGGCTTTTTGTAAAAAGGATAAATAATTCTTTGTGTTTGGCCCCCATTTAAGCCAAGATTTATCTCGATTTATGCATGATCCACGCGAAGTCTGATGCTGCATTGCCTAAGAATTGAGGTTCTGATTTCTGCAAGACAGGGCAGGGTCCTGGCTGGGCAGCTGCATTCCTTGTGGAGGCAGGGATTAAACCCACATGCCTTGAAAGAGCAAATCTGGATATGTGTGTGCTAGGTGGGGACCTGTCTATGTCAACAGGCAGGAAGGTCAATGCTGTGCTGCTACACCTTGGCTCCTACCCATCTACGCAGTTTGGGTACTGGCTTAGCTCTGCATGCGATGGGCAATGCCATCCACTTGGAATCCAGATCCTTAAGGTGCCTTTTGAGAGCTGCTGACAGCAACGGTGCCTTCCCACACACAAATCTTGCCAATGCCAAAAAGAACTGGAACTTTTTAGTCTAGGGCTTACTGAGCCTGAAGATCTCTCTTATGTCTTGAGGACATGCAGTAGGCACTCGGCTGACCATTTTTGCACCCTTCAAATTGGTCCATGCGCTTATAAGGCTACAGAAATCAGAGTCCAATCTGATTTTTATTTGAAGTCATTATTTTAATCTTATCCTTATTTTAAGTCCTTCTTCTTTTAGATAGGGAATGCCCTTCTCAGCCAGTGCTTAGGACGGCTGGTGAAAGGGATATAAACCCTCACCAGCCCCAAAATGTCAACACCGAGCAGTTGAGCCTCAGAAAGCGTACTTAAGGAATACGTCCTCTCTGACAGACATGGGACCAAATGTCCACATGGATATCTTCTGCAATGCCCTCTCCAATATTTCAAGCAATTTCTACAGGCAGAATTCTTGCGATGTAGGAGTGGATGTCAAGCCAGGATATCTCAACTCGGCGTAGATATGTGCTCTTAGCTTTGGGTCAGGCAGTGATGTGTGGTGTAGTGAGAGCCCCCAGGGACTCTTCAAGTTGTAAAAACTACAAACCTTCTTCTGGTTTTCCACTGGGGCTATTCAGATGGGACAGAGTGACCTCTCCGGAAAGCCTGTCCAACAGCAGCAGCAATCACTCTCAATAACATTTAATAACTACCCATGGAGAAAATTACACTCTATTTAAAAAGGCCAGGAAAATCATCCTCAGTTTAACTCTGCTGACTTTGGTAGAATTACACCAAAACTGAGGGTTTTTTTCTCATATCCTTTCCCATACTAATGTTCAGGAGCTGGGCTGAAAAAGCCTTTCAGAGGCAGATTAAACAAGTCCAAATGGTGAAATATGCTTTTAATTTTCCTTTGCACACATTATTTTAGGTGTAGCTTGGAACACTGCCCTTACGAGAGGCATCCCTTTAAATATGTATACAGCATCAATATGTAGCCACCTTCATACGTTTTTAATGCTACGTTCCTTTCTAAATTAACCATTAAATAACCCTGTTCTATAGTGTTCCATATTTTGCCCTGCTTTTACAGTACCCTTGGATTTTTATTTATTTATTTTGCTGTGGAACAATGAAGATGTCAAGGCAAGGCCCAGGGGCACCATGGAAATTGAATTCTTGGAGCACCACTGCTGTTGCCATGGTGGACACGCACTCAATAGCACACTGTGCTGCTCTGCAAGCCAAGGGGATTAAAACCCTATCTCTGCTGCTGGGCCATGTCAGTTCACTGCTGTTACAATGACAGCTCTTCCTTTTCACAATCATCGTTCCCAGGATCAGGGGGAAAAAGGTACTGAAGCAAACCTGAGCAAGGAGGTGAAGGTGCTGTGAAGGGGCAGGATGCGATGTCTCTGTTCTGGGAACCACAGTTGTGTCAGGCAGGTTTCTGGCTCTTCCAGAGGCTTTTCTCTTCTGTCTTCTCATTTCATGTTACTTAGCACGATGCTACAGTACGCCAAGGTGAATAGTGCAAAGCTCAGTGCTGTTAACTGAGTCAAAGATCTCTACTATTTCCTCAGCCCTGATCCAGGCTGAAAACTCACAGATGAGTAGAAGTGTTGGTGCAAGCCATGGATTTTTGTAACAGTGGGATTTACGAGTCTTGTTTAATTGTACCACATTGTCATAGCAAAATGATTTCTGCAGAAGCTGCTCATGGCTTATTTCCATTCTGATTCCCTCTCTCCTAAGGGGACCATGGGAGAAGGCTGCACCATGAGATCACAGCTGCATAACCAAAAAGTTAGCAAAAGCCTCGGCAGATTGACCGGCAGCACGCGTCCCAGGCTTGGTAGGGAGATTATTCCCCTGACAAAGAAAAAGAGACATCAGAGCTTGTTCTGTGCCCTGTTACACTGAAAACAAGAGCAAAATATTCCTGCACGCTGCTTCGCAAAGAAGAGTTGCATCCTTCAGGGCTGAAATCCAACCTCACCTTCTTCTGCTTGCTGAAGCAGCCTTATCCTGTACTTGTTTTGTAAGTAAGGGCTTCAGCTAAGTCAGTAGAGATTTTGTCTGAGGATAATGGGCCCAACGAAATACTGAAATGCAATTTCCCTGACTTGCAGTGTATTGAAGAAAGAGATTGAGTCACAAGCAATCCCCTTGCAGCAGCAGAGCTCAGCTCCTGCTGTACACATTGCTGAATCAGTCCGGGAAGGATGTCACCGTCTTATGCCGGCAGATACGGTCGTTTGTAAGAAGCACGGGGGTATTTTTGCATCTTCCCTCCAGTGAACTGAATCTGGTACGGTTTGGTTCCAGCAGTAACTTGGTTTAATTGGGTTTTTAAATGTACTGTTAAAGGAACATTTTTCTCTCCAAACAAATGCTGCCTGAACTTGGCATTCCTGATGTATTCCTCGCTAAAAGAAGCCAGGCAGCAGCTGAAATACAATGAATTGCTCTCTTCCTCCACGGCAAAGGCAAGGTATGGTCAGGCTTAAATTGAGCTTTTATTTGAGCCTCTTCTTTGGGTTGCAAAGGCAATTTTTTTCTCAGTGTTTGCTGCAAATATGTTTAAATTCACTCTGTTTTGGAGGCAAGTAGTCAATGCATCTGAAGTGCATGCTTGACATATGTTTCTTTTCACATGCTGTCCTCCATTCGTTTCATGTAGCAGATGCTCAGTTTACCGCTTTAAATGTATTCTTATTTACTAGAAATTAGTTTGGAAAATAGCTGTTTGGAACTAAACATTTCCAGCCCTTCTTCTGGGTGCTGGGAGCTCCTTTTTGCAGCTGTCCTGTGTGGCTGCATGCAGATGTTGACAGGTTAATTTGCATTTGAAGAGCTGGATGCAGTGAGCTAAGCAAGGGTTTTTCTTCCCTGCCTCCCAAGGCAGTCACTTAAACACTCCTTGCCAAATTTATCCCTGATGCTACTCTTCTTAATTAACTGCAGCAGCATCCAAGCTGAGTTTGGCCCATTGTTAGCTGCCCATTTATTCCAGGGTTGAATTAAGCCCCCTGAGCACGTAAAAGAAAGGATCTTATTCTGAATATTGATTGTACAACACTGAAACGCAGGGACAGTCCTAATTCACAGCAAGGTGGTATGTACAAGGTGGTTTATTTGATTTCCACTATATTATCCCATTGCCAGAACCTGCAGGTCCAAACCTTCCAGCTGAGGTTTCTGATTTACCTGACTTCTGCATATTACTGGAGTCAGAAATCCTGATACCAAGAAAAATGACTGATTTCCCTTCCTGGAAAGTGCTCTTTTTTGTTCCTGTTATGTGGGGTTTTTTCCCCTTAAAATAAGATTGCATAAAGACATTCAGCACAAAGACCCAAATTTAGTCCCTCCCATCAATAAAGTAAAAGGCAGAAGTCTTGATCTACAGCCATGCTGTCAGCCTCTAGAAACTCTTGCTGCTGGTCTTTCATGTACATGATCCATTCACATTGACTCAAAGTGCAGTTTAGCAGAGACCAAAAACTTTCATGCTGTAGCAGGGAGGAAAGCTAACATTCAAAGAGCTGCAGCCCTGTCACGATCAAGGCCCATGCGTTTTGCTCCCTCTTCATTTTCCTCTCTTTCCTTTAGATGTTGCAGAACTGTCAAGGGAAGCTGCATCCAGCAGGTATTAGAGCACTGAACTGAACCTGCAGGAACATGGGAAGGCGTAATTAAGGTCGTCCTTTTTTCATGTACCTTCATTTCACCACGTTTCTCTGCTTCCCTGCCATGCCGCTGCTATGATCAGCTGTGGGCAGATGCTGGTCTGACTTCTCCCCTGCAATCTGGATTTCAGCAATCTTCCGGTTTCCTCATGTGGGTCTAGTTTGCTGCGCATCCGCTATGGGGACAGTTACGCATCTGAACGATGGCAGTGTTGATGCTTACATGTAGGCATTATGATGAACACTAGTAACAAATTGCACTCAGCCTGTGTTTTGGAGCATTTATGGCAAAATTCATACGGGTCACAGTCAAATACAAACCAATTCGTCACCTCAGCTGTGCATGGGTGCGGTAGGAGAGACCGCTGGCTCAGTGAGCTTTCTTAAAGCAAAGTGTTTCCTCCAATCCATCATTTGCATCACACATAACGCTTTCCTTGTAGGTGGCTCTTTTTTTCCTATGTAAGAACTTAATGGGAGGGGATAGGAATGAAGAATGTTGGTGTTAGACAGGCATGATTCAGGTACCCATGGTGACACGAGATCACTCCACACTGTCACCAACACAAGAAGATTACCTTGTACAACTAAGAACAGAATGTTTGACCTTCAAGACTTCCTTATCTGTAAACATTAGAACGGCACAGCAATGCAACCCAACTTGTCAACAGCAAGAAATGAAAGAAAAAGAAAACTAATTTAAAAGCCAGCAGCAGCAGTGGAATAAATTCAGACATTTATCATTGCAGAGGTTCCCTTCGCTCCTGCCGCTTTTCCTGCAAGGTTTAAATTATTAGATTTTCTTTTTAATGTTATGCTTACTGTCCTAAGAATAGAAGACAATTTACAGAAGCTCACATGGATGAAAAAGCATTTCCCTTTTGTGCTGTTGCTCACACAGTTCACACACCCACAAACCTGCACCTTCCAGCTTTCCAGAAACCTCAGGTTAAATAAATTGACTCAATATTCGGAAATCGATTTTGAAATCCTTGAAAGAAGGTTTATTACCTGAACTTTCACTTCAGAAATATCATGCAGCTCAGTGTTTGGCACAGGACTTTTTATCTGGTCCAGGTAAAGGGGCAGATTCTTCACAACACTTACATGTGTGGCTGGTCCTGTCAGTGTTGGAGTTGAACCTATTTGCATGAGAAAAGACCCTTGGAGTGAAGAAGTGCAGGATGAGGATCTAAGCTTACCATAACAGCTGGAAAGAACATGGTAAAACGAAATTCAATATCCTCTGCTGTAGATTTCCCAGGTTTTAAGCTTCTGAGGCAGGGAGTGATTTTTAAGCAGAATTTTAACTTGCACACATGAATTATTTCTAGTGACTTGCTCAAAAATAGCAGTTTGAGCCTGACTTGCAATGTACTCAACACAGGGCTGGAGCATGGCCAGGCAGCCTGCCCATGCCTGGGAAGGCAAAACTTCCTGCACACACCTGAACCAAATACCCCTCCTTGGGTATACATATATATACATATATATAAATACATAAATACTTCCCAACACTGTGGTTTGGGGTCATGCTCTTTGTCCCTCCCCTGATACAGATCAGCAGGGAACGGCCAGAGTTCGGGGTCCAAGCATCTCACTAAGGTCTGAACCAGTGAGAGACAGCCAGAGTTTGTTGCCTGTAGAGGCTAATGGGGAAGTGCTGTCCCCCGAGAGTAGGGGAGCATCATGCTGCATGACTCAGAGTGTAGCTGAGTCACAGCCTCCTGTGGCTTCACCTGTGATGGGAAGGGCTTAGGCACCGTATTCAACATCATTGTGCTTGAAGTCACGATGCAAATCATTGTGTTCAAGCTCCTCATTTGCTTCATAGGGGGAAAAGTATGTTGTGCTTCTTGGAGAAGAAAAGGGGTTGGTGGTGTGGGAAAATGAGCTCCTGGGTTCCCACTCATGAGAGTGCTGTTAGGAAAGAAAAACATCCAGCAAAAAACACCTTAATAGCATAAGGGAATGTAATCTCTCTGCTGGAGCCCCTCAGAAGGGAGTGAAGGCACACCTGGCATATGGAGTATTGCTGGTTAGCAGGACACATCAGCTAAGATCACCTGAGGCATGTGGAGCTGCTGCAGAAAAGCATCCATGTCTCATGAGGATACAGCTCTCCTTCTTAAGAGCACTTAGGAGGAGATCTGCAAAGGGGGTTAGGTATTGCCGTTCCTAAAATGTAGAAGCTCAGCCTACCAACCCCCAGCACCCTGGACAAGAAATGCCACTGAAGAGCAGAACTCAGGAGCTGGGCACTAACTGGTGTTTCAGGCTGTGCTCATCCTGAGGGACAGACAGCACATTTATGAGTCCCTGGATGGAGGCAGAGCAGAGCACATACGCATCACTGCATCCCCCTTGGATGCTGGCACCTCCCTTGCAGCACCATTAAGAGTTAAATGACAAGGCAGATAGTCACTTTGCAGTAGGTATTTGCTGGCACACAACCTGGTGAATCCAGGCTATAGAGCATAAGTGATTTATAGTCACTAAGCAAACTTTCTCAAGAGCTTATTTAGAAGAGAAAGCCCTGATGCATCAGCAGCGCTGTGCGGAGGAGAGCTGCTGGAGCCGCTGGTACTTCGACATGATTGAGTATTTTTAGAGCCATCCTATGGTGCAGGATTTTTAACTTCCATTTCACAGCCCCTGAAGCCTGGCAAACTTTCATTAACATTTGATGCCTTGAAGTCATGCAAGGTCTGGGGGAAAAGGGAGGGGAAAGAGGAAAAAGAAATACACCTTTTTGGAGCATGCAAAGTTGCCTTGAAGGTTAGAAAAAGCCTCCAAACCCTCCTCTTTGTGCCGTGTGCTTTTAAAGTACCCAAACCATTCAGAGAGCATAGCTAGAATCCCAAACCATGGCTGTGTGGGCTGTGTCTTGCTTAATTGAAAGTTAAGTAAGTTAACATGTGAAATACCTGAAGTCTTTCTGGCCCTTGGGGAAATTGAAGCACTTCTTAAGCAGAGAGCTCCCCACCTTAGAAAGATGATGTGTCTCTTCTTCATGCATTATTAGGGGACTTTGATAATATATAGCTTTTTGACCCATAAATCCCCAAATTATTTATAAGCCACCATGCCTGCATCCTAGAAAGGAGAACCTGGGACCTGGAGCAGTTAAAGGATTTGCTCCCAACTCCCACTGCACACACTGCCATTTCTGCTGAGCACAAAGTAAGGCTTTTCTGTCCGAATTTATACATGGTGAAAACAGTGCTTCCCTGGCTACAAGGCAGACTTTCAACTGGAAGATAAATTAACAAAACCTCTCTTTTCCCCTCCCCTAAATACACACATGTATACAGACAGAGTCTCTTTGCGCACAACTGAGATTTTTCATAGGCTGAGGGAGTAGGAAGAAGAGACGTATTTTTGTCTCCTTGGCAAAAATACATTGGCAGCATATCACTGAGTTGTAAAGACTGAGTAAGTACCAGAGCGTGGCCCTGTTAGGAGAAGCGGGTTTTGGAAAGCTGCCCTTCGGCTGCCGGTGCCTGCCTGCCAGGACCATTGCAGGGATGCTGTCTTAGGGGGCACTCAGCTTGGGGGACCCCGAACAGCCCGTACAGGCTCCTGTGGACGAAGAGGAGTTTGCAGTACCTGGAAATGAGGAGCTGTCAGCTCTGCATCGCCCCAGATGAAGTGTCTGAAGGGGAAAGGAGCCGTAAATCTCCCCCTGTGCATGGCACCGTTCCCAGGCGGTCGGAGCCACTGCCTGTCTCCTGAGCTGCATACCTTTCAGGAGGTCTCGCCAAGGTGGTGACAAACCCAGGTCCCGTCCTGCTTTCAAAACTCAGGAGGAAATATGGTCCCCGAGATGCTGCTATACAAGGGCAGGGAGAAGGGTGAAGGACTGATGAGGGAGGGCTGTGAGGGAGTCAACGGCCTGGGGGCTCCTGCCTTTTGTCCAGTCTTCCCAGCAGAATGAAAATGTATTGGTTTTCTTCTCCCAGCTGTAAATCTTCACAGGCACTTCCATGTCATCCTAGGACAACAAAACGCAATCAGCATTTGTAACCATTACAAAGGCAGAGGTGCCTGATGCTACTAAGGGCTGGGACATTTAAATCCAATTCTGAGATCTCACGTTGGACTGCTCAAAGCCATCACCACCATTATCCTTTCCTCGTGCAGGTAGAGATGTTTCATAGTAAAATGCAGTTCTGAAATACTGAAAGTAAACTCTGTAATAAAATATTTATGCATCTGGGCTTTAGTGCATTGTTATTTTGCATGATCTGCTTTGCTTTTCAAGACTGACTAGACTGAGGCACTTCTGATTCATTAAACACATTTTCCCAAATCCTGTTTCTACAGATATTGTTGGGCCATTGTGCTTAGCTGTATTTATTAGATGGCATAACAAGAAAGTTACATCTTCCATAAACCTGAGAGGAACATGCTTAAATGTGTTGCTCTGAATCTCAGCATAGAAGAAAACAGTTCTAATGGATAATTAAAGCTTAAAGAGGTCATGCTGCGTTCGCAGTCTCATTTTTATTTGTCACTGCTTAGTTTGCATTAGAAAATAGAAAGTTTGAGGTGCAAGAGCCAAAAGAAATCTCTTCTGCATGTGTTCATATAAGCAGATCTGTTTGGTAGGCGTCCCATTTTGATGTATTAGGTCATTTGTTAACTGCAGTCATTTAAATCAGTCCTGGGAATTATGAGTTTCAGGCTCTTTATTTTCATCAGGCAGTGGCTCTGTGCATCCCCTCGCCTTCTGTCAGCAGCGCAGACACCGACTCTTCGGCTGGGCAGGGCTGTGGATGCAGGCAGAGCTGCTCAGGGAGGACCCAGGTCGCCATCTGGTCCCTGTCTCCACAGGCACCACCAATCTGCCAAGCTGCTGCTCTCCTCCTAAGCCCTCTCCTTGCCTCCGGCCACCCACTGCCCACCTTGTCGTCTTCTCCTCCTCTAATAACTCGGATTCAAGCTAAAGGCCTTCATATTTCTGTTGTATTTTCTCCCAGGATACGTTTCAGCTGCAAAATGCATTTGTTCCTTTCCTTTCCTTTTCACACTAGAACCTATTCTTTGTAACCAGCAGCTCTGCCATGTGTTTCCAAGGTTAGACTTCAGCCCTGGGTATTCAAGTAATCTATCCTAGTGAAATGTCTTTTCCACTAATACGTCACCCAGATGACTTTTGAAACCTTTGCCTTGCATTTCCCAGTTCCAGCCATCAGCAGGGTTTGGCAGTTACACCCCTTTCTCCTAACCTTTAGATTCCCCATTGTCATCTGCCTTGTTTCAGTCCCGCATCACTGATTGTGCATGATCAATCTCTAGAGGTTTAGCTTCTATGTATAACTCAACAAGCTGGCATAGAAACGAGGAAGACATGCTCCAAAATGAATGCAGATCCCACTCAAGGTCACAGCATTACAAAGATAGACATATTGCAAGCATTCCCTTCAATTAAAATGATTTATGGAGTGAAATTTCCCCATTGCTTCTTCAATATCCAACTATTTTTCTAACTGCCATCATCTTAAGATGAATCACCACGGATTAAAGAGATACGGAATCATTACAGGATTCCAGGAGTGTCCAAATGTTCCTAATCACTTAACTAGCAAGGTCCTAAAAACTTTGTGGAGTGTGAATGAGCCAAAAGAAGGATTGTAAAGAAAGAATTCAGTTTTAGATGTCAGGTTAGAGATCTTCCCTGCTATTAGAGCAGACAATAACTCATTTTAGGTGGAGAGGTAATTATGTGATGCCTTGTAAGCTTCAGCTACACCAAGAGCTCTCACAAGGAGTATCAATAAAATGAACCATTTTTCTACTGCCTTGATCTGGAGGGTTTTTTGCATTAAAGAAGGCACCAGGGCCATCCTGTGCATGTTACCGCAGATATCCCTGAGGATTATCCAGGTCCTCGTCCTGGAGAGTTGTTTCTTAAATTCTAGGCTGCTGTATGACAACGGCAAAGCTTGCCTGGTGTGAAATGATGCTTCAGGAACCTCAGGAAATGGCAGTTTAAGAGGGTTGAAAAGTAGAAATTCAGACTGAGAAGGTACGAGCTCAAGGCTGCACATGGATGAAAGTTGAAGTTGCAGAAGATACAGGGGACAAAGCAGCCCATGTTGTACTGGATATATTCCATCTAGCTCAAGAACAGCATTCATTCCCCAGGTGTGACCATGACTGTCTCAAATTATAAAGTCAATGGGGACTTTGAAGAGATGTGAATGTCCATTTCCTTAAATTTCCTCTCCCAGGTAGCGATGAGCCATGATACAGGCTTTATAGACATGCTGTGATCGTAAGAGGTGAAACCATCTAGCCCTGGTTGATCACGATGTTAATGAGGGAGAACTGATGACTTACTGAAGTAAGGCAAACCATATGGATAAATCCCAAGCTATCCCTGAAGGAAAACTTGATTCCAATTGTGCCAACCCAGGAAAAAAAGCACAGTTTGACAATGTGAAAATAAACATGATTTGTCATTTTGCAGCGTACGAACGCTTCATCAGACAAAATGACTATCTGTTCTCCAAATTGCATCCGGTACAATTTGGCATTTGAGCCCTCTCATAATGATTGATGGACTGGCAGCAAGCTGCTTGAATGAGCAGTCTTTGTACCAGTGAATGTATGTCAGGGTCAAGAATACTGGGGGAGAAAAAGGTGGATTTTGGTCCAAATCAAGATATACCTGAATCCTGGCTTAGCACACATGCCACCACAGCTTATTTCCTGCTGCTCTGTGGGGTGTTGGAGTGATGATGGCCACGGTGTAGTCAGAGTTGTGAATAAAAAGTTAGTCTCTGACACATTGTGCCAAAAGCACTGCTCGGTACTGAAGTACCTCTTTAAATTAAGGCATTTTGGAGCAGAATGTATGAAAGAGCTGGAAAGTCATTGGAGAATGACTTTCAGTTAAAAGCTCTGATAGGTGAAGAAGCCAACACCAGCTCCTCAAGCGTTAGACCAATTTTAGCTAAGGTAGAAAACTACGTAACTCCAATGGAGGTTTCTATCCAAGCTCCAAATTCATTTTAAAAGGATGAAAACAATGATATCACCCACCCAGAAACAGCTTTGGCAGAGTAGAGGCAGAGCAAACTATGGAAATGAGTGGTGAGACAAACTTCTGGGCTGCTGGGATAAAGGCCTGCAGCATGAGACGCAGGACGAGATGAGGTGTGAAGGCAGAACACAGCAAGCGTGGGCCGTGGTGGTAGGTAGGAAAGCAGACACAGAGAAGTGAGTTAGCAACCCCATGACAACGAGGAATGTCGACAGTTTCTTGGGACTGAGCCAGGCATGGGAATGCTTGCCATGGCAGGGCTAACTTATCTCTGACTTTAAAATGTTCCTCAAGCAGCATCACCATCATTGCTCCCCTCCCCTCCATCATGTCGTACTCAGCTTGAGGAATTGAACCTATCTCCCCGTGCAAACTGAACATCATGACTGGAAGTATGTGAGTGTTTCTTCCTAGGAAACACAAAGTCATTCCCTCAACAAGCTCCATGGAAAGGAAGAACAAAAAAAAAGACTAAAAAAAGCCACAGAACCCCCCTGAAATCTCCCCCATTTTGCCATCCAAACCAGCACAAGAGCACGTCATTACTAAAGAGCAAACTGCAGATGGTAATAGAAAGGCTGTCAGCAATACACAGAGGGGCTACTGGGGATGCCTGAACAGTGGAATAATGCAGCACTGGACTTTATCTGCTGTTTGGCTAAGGAAAGGCAGTTGGGAAAGTGATAGTAGCATTGCTGAATAAACCTCAGTCATTACTTCTATGGTCAAAATGCTGATTTATGAGAGGAACTTTAGAAAATAATGGAAATTAAGTAGCTCAAAACAATATTTAACATGCAGTCACTCTTACCTACTTCACTGCTGTCCGTTTCCCCGCTACTATTGGTATTCACTGTGGTAGCACAAGGAGCACAAGGACAGTTAGTACTTCTGGCAGCAGTTTTGTAATGACTAAAGAGAATTCAAAGGACAGCAGCCAGACACTGTGATGTGTTTTATTAGCTCCCAGATGTGCAGGTGAGGTGAATCTTCGGTAAATGAGTTTCGCTGCCATGGATTTTCTAACATCACTCAAGGTCTCATATAAAACCTTATAATGGGAACAAAAGGCTGTCATAGAATTTTAAATTCATCTTTGGCAAAGCATCTTTTCTGCATGTGTTCATTTCTTACACAGAAATACAAATGTACAACATCTTTGATGATATTTGCCCAGCTGAAAAGAGAAGGTTGCTGTAAAGGCTGTATATACCCACGTGAATTAGAACTGACTGAGCCTCTGTAGGCGTTTCCCTGGATGCCTTCTGGTGTAGGTGATCCAGAAGCTGAAGATGCTTTACCAAGCTGTACAAAACAGCATTCAGGTGTTACATCCTGGATTGCAGCACGCCAGAATAATACTGCTCAGAGTAAAATTGGTCGAGCCAAAACTAGAACTCACCACCCAACAGCAGAGTTCTTCACCACCTAAGGGAGATACGTCTTCTCTGTGGTGGCTAACTTCTTTGGGTAACGGTGAGCACCCATCGGTACCTGGGGGAAGATCAGCTAAGGCACCACATCTGGGTCACAGGAAACTCAAGACTGTTAGAAGAGAATAGGGTGGTTCATGACAGGAAGGTCAAACTGCCCAGGTGGGAACCTTGGCAGTCACTATTGATGGCTGTGAAATTGGCACTCAGGTCAGTGGAGATGGCTCCTCTGCAATGCAGCACGTGAGCTCCACTGCAGTTTGAGACCACTGTAGAAGGAAGCTATGCAAGGAATAGAGCAACGCAACCTTCATTCTGCAGAGATATGGTGAGAGGAGAAGCTGTGAACTGCCTCTGCTCCCAACAGAGAGGGCTTTGTAGAAGAGCACCAAGGAGAGGCTGCAGACAGCAGAAGGCAATCAGATCAGACACTGCCACAGTGCTGGCAAGTTGGGGAAAGCAGATCATAATACCCTAAATGCTTGAAAGTGGTGGTATATGACAGTATCTTCTCTCATAGAAAGGAGAGAGGAGGGAGCATTAACTACTATATGAAGGTAAGAGAAGTGTAGTGAGGTTAATGGTGGGACTAGCATGTCAAATGACAAGATAAACTGAGACCTGTTCCTAGAGAAAACGTGCTTTTGCCAGGGGTGAGGGGAATGGCAAGTGTTAAGAATAAAGGGCAGGATGAGAGCAGAGATGATCCCCTGCCAACACCAGCTCATTTGCAAGTGCATGGGCAGAAGCAGCTGCAAGCTGCTCCGGTACCCATCTCCTCCAGCATCGCTGCTACCAGGGCAGTCTGAGCCCTTGTAAGGTGCGAAACACACCAGGAACGTGCTTTGTGTTTAAAAACCTTAAAGAGGAGCAAGATGGAGCAGACAGCAAAAGCAACCAGTTGTTATTCACGTGGCACCAAGGGCATGGGTGAGAAGCTCTGAGCAGCAGAGGGTCTGTAGGCAGCGGAAGGGGAGGACTGGAAAAGGGGGAAATTCATGTCACAGCAGAAGATAAGAAAATCAGAGATTTGAGGAGGAGTTTTGCTTTGCCCACCAGACAATTGAAAATAGATCAAAAGAACCCAAAGGGTTTGTTAGAGATGACAGCTCCTAAGGAAGAAAGTGGGGCAAATTTCACACATTTCAACATTTTAAAAGCATTTCCTTTTTGCCCAGGAAGTAGAAGGGGAGCTAACAAAGGAATAAGACCGGATTCTGCTATCACTGTTACTAGGGGAGACAGATTTGAGCCCAGTGCACTGAAATCAGAATCTGGCCCTTAAGTAGGCAGTTCAGCTCCCTGCAATGAGAAACATGGATTCTTAGTTATGGGATGAAGGACAGAAAGAAGGAAAGGACTTTAATGAAAAAAAAATAAAAGATTATTGTTCCACTTTCTCAACACCCATAGAGAAACATGGCTAAGGTTCGGGATAAATCCCTTTTAAAGACCCAGCTGAGCTGCATTTGCTTTAGCCCAGCCATGGCACGCATGGAAGTTCGTGATGATCAGCTGGTTTAGGGTACCGTGCTAGCCCAGTTGTGGGAATGGACTTCTGGTTCTTTTAGATCCTAAACATTTTCTGCAAACAGGACCTACCCTGGCAAAAGCACGACAATAACTCCTGGTACTTCCAGTGCCCATCAAACTCACCTTCAGGATGAAACAAAAACACATCATATGGGCATATATTTGTCATATGGACAAATAATTCCTGGCCTGGCAGGACTCAGGGTGCCAGACAGCATCTGTCTCAAAAACCTATGCTTTAACATTCCCAGCTTCGTGAGGCTCACAACAGCCAAACTTTTCTCAAAGGCAGACACCCAATAAATGTGTATTTAACTTCCCAAGACTTCTTTCTCTGCTGGCTCCATCCTCCATGGTGAGGAAGGTGGCGTTACAGCAGCAATGTGGGGTAGCAAATTCACATGGGATGTGTTTTGCACACGACCTACATCAGTACTTCATGATTTCTTTTATAATGACAGCATTAAGCATCCTCTGGCAGAGGCTCACAGGCTCTGTGCTCATTCGAGTAACTTAAGGACAGGCTTGTGAAACTCTCTGCAAACAGCGGGAGACAAATAATCAAACTTGGGACAATTTAATATATAAAGTGCCAAGAAACAGAAAAACATCTAATGCTGTTCCTTGTTTCCTGAATGGAGAGCTCAGGACCACAATTTGAGCAGCAGCACCACGGTAGGTTCTGAACAATACTGTTCTTGAACAGTAGGTTCTGAATGCAAAAGGAGGTGCATCACTTATTCCTCTTCAAGAGTGATTTTATGATGAGAGGAATGAAGAGGAAAGAAAGCTAACTGGGCAGCTGCATTCGCTGTTGTGTGTCAATGCAGTGAGACAGGGGAGTTGTGCCAGTGGAAAATCAAAGAAATGAACACAGTGCACAGATAGACTCCATGCTATGAACTGCGCAGAGAGGAACATTTTTTGGCCTGTCTGATCTCCTCTGCTCACTATTGCTCAAATCACGCGGCAGAGGATTTCAGGACTTGTCAGCAAAGAAACTTTCCTATAGAAAAAATACATAACTGTTTCTTTCCTCCCCTGGCAGAGTCCAGTGCTGACACTCACTCACTATAAATAGAGGTTCTCCACTGTTGTCTGGGGGAAGTGCAAAGCCATGCCACTCAGGAAACCCAGTCTCACACGGCATGCTTGGACGGACACTGTGTTCAGGCAACTTCTGTTACAACAGCCCCACTCTGCACATCACGGTTTTCTTGCTGTCTGTGATGTTATCTGTCAGTCAGCCTTCTCTGTGCTGATAAAGTCAGAAAACTTGTCATTTAAGCATTCAGCTATTCAAGTGGTATTGCAGTAAATCAGGCTAACAGTTGGCTCTGGAACTCAAGCACAGCAGTCGATCACAGGATAGATGCAAGCAGCAGAACCACTGGGCCCGAATTTCCAGTGGATCGTTACTAATTGCCTTATTCTTAATATACAGTCAGCTCCTTACAACTTGCATTCCCTGTATTTACAAGCACTTCCTGTCAAATGATCTTGAAAATCATTTCAGTCCACATCTTTGAACCATCCCAGAAGGCCCACATTTGCCAGAAAGAAATGCACCAGTCAGTGGGATGTTAGCCTGGGCAGTTATTGGGTGTGTTTACCTGCCTGCAGGTAATTGCTGTAGCCATGCAACCACTTCTGCAGCTGACATTTGTAGCCCTCATCCCATCAGTGTAACCCCTCTCAGGAGAAAACTCTGCTTAACTCTATTAATAGCGTGCACGTGTGCTCACTAAGTATCTATAGCTGCTCAAGAACTACAAGAACGTGGTGTGTTGGCAGGGGAGAGTTTGATCCAAGGAGGCTGCAAATGTCTCATGAGAAAACAAGAGAGGTTTCCCAACCAAGTCCTAAACCTGATGTTTTACTGCATAGATTCACTACCAAGGGCAGGTGAGAGGATTGGAAGATGAAATAGTTAATCTAGCAACAGCTCTGTAGAAGCTGTTGATGGAGAAAGAGGCAGCAGCTTGACCCATCTATCCTCATGTGTCTCCCACTGCTATCAGATATCGCCTCCTGTAAGCTCGTGCTCAGAGCAAGGAGACGAAAATTGCTATTGACAGAAGTACCCTGCAGACAAGGTCCTCTGCTGCAAAGCTGCTAGCTTCTTGCATGGTGGAAACCTATTTTAAACACAGAACACAACACTAATGTTATGGAAAGATCTTGTTGTATGTAGGTTTGAGGAGAAGGGAGGGAGAAAACAAAAGTACATCCTGCCTTAACAAATACTGTCAGACATTTAAAGGCTCTATCTTCCAGAGCTGATTTGTGCAAACACTTCCAGGGCATCAAGGAATGTTGTCATTGATAAATATTAACCATGGGAAATGGCTGTTTCAAAGACACAGCCGATGGTGTGGCCAACAACAACATGATCATGTAACACATGACCACAAACAAAGTTAATAAGCACTTGCATCCTACAGCGTTAACCATGAGTCGTCAAGAAATAAAACCCCAGTGAGCCAATCTGCAGTGGCACAGGCAAGATTATTGAAGGATTATTTGAGAAGGAGCAAGGAGGTGGCAGTATGTCATCAGAATTTGGGATCACTGCTTTGATTTACTGTTGAAAACTCTTTGTACTTTGAGATCTCAAACCCCAAAACAAAGCTAAATCTTCACTTAGGCACTACGATTCCCTCCCTTATCACATTATTGGAATACATCACACTCTAATTACAGTTATCTGAACAACACTTACTGAGCTTGGGAAGTGCTAACCTTTCTGGAGAAGCCCTTGAACACAGAGTAAGGCCGAGTCAGAAACAATTTTAAGGTTTTAAATGCCAGCTATGTACGCTGCAAGCAGTGGGAAAAAAGTGTTCTTACACCACCAGCACCACTTGAGGAAATTTGCCTCTTCATTATCATTAACTCAGATCCTGAACTCCTAGCTCAAAATTCAGAACAAAGTTATTATTATGAGAAAAAAAACCACCACATTATAATATTTGTATTTCTAAAAGCATCATTAAAACATATTGGTAATCATTCAAAGAAGAGAGTAATACTTACAGCATCTCAGTGGGGTATTACATCTTACTCTCAAGAGGCATCCAGAAGTGCTGCTCAATATTTTAGTATCTGTTAGGCAGTGATTGCAGTTTATTTATCTCTCTCTAGTGGGTACAGCAGTAGAAGTTAAATATTCCATCTCCCTCTCCAAGGGATATAAGGGACTGTATCCCTGTACTCAAGCAAAGAGCATCTCTCTTCATATCACATTCTGGTGTGGGAAATGGCCCATGTGTGCCTGAGTGAGCACGGACCAGCGACCACATCTGTCTACACATTTCCTCGAGGCAGCCCCTGTGAAGCCTTTGAGGAGAGCTTCAATGAGTTCAGATCTGGCGCAGATGCTGCAGAATGGCTGCTACTGAATTTAATTGAGGTGTTTCCACCTCTTCTATTTCCTGACTTTTATTCTTTGCTGTTGCTTTACACGCTAGGGCACAGAGCCAGGTATTTCACTAGATCTGTTTTGGTTTGGCTGTATTTGTTGTGTTTAAGCACAAGTCAGACTCTGCTGTTGTGCTTTTAAAGCTGATCATGCTCCAGTAGCTTCCACCCTGCTAGTTTTAATATTTCTCCAATCTAAGTTTCAAATCGTCCATCGGGATGAAAAAAGAAAGGTACTGTTGTGCTTCCCAGCAAGCCTTTGTTTCTGATACTTTATGGATTAAAAAAGCCCTCAATACCCTGCAGATCACCAGAGTTCATGATAGCACCTTCAAGCCTCACTGAAAGCTTAATAAGCTGCTGCAGAGTTATATG